ATTGATCATATACTAGTTGTAAATGCTCCAATTTAAAATTGATGTCCTAGATGGACAACATCAATTGCTGATCAACCTATAGCACGCCTGAAGCGTGATAGATTAATAGGTTCTAAAGATAATTAAGTGTCTTCGAAAAGGAAAGGAACCACTATTGACAATGACAAATTTGAGGAAGTGATAGATCCTGTTACATTTCTAGAAGAAATTACTTTTAGTACAGTTCATATGTATCATGATTACATAAAAGACTCCAGAAGAGTATGAAATATCCAACAAGATTAACATGTATCAAGATTATAGTCAAAACTCCAGCAGAGTATGATTAGGTATTGGATAAAATATTAGTTGATTGTCTTGCCAATGGTATAAATAAACACATGTTGGTCTTCAAATATCACATCATATTCATGGTCATGCATAAAGTAAGTTTAATAAAGTGATCACTAGTGTTGAAAAACTGACCAGAGGGTTCAAATTTAGAGAAGTGATTGGATGTGATAATTAAATTAGGCCATCCGGGTTTAATAATTAATAACCCGTCATGAAAACTTTAACTTTCACTTGATATGAAAGATATAATGCGCCGACGCTCTCTCATACTAGATATTATGAAATGAATTGAATGGCAAGACACAACGTTGAGATTGTGCTATAGTTAGATTATGATTTAATAGTTTGTTTTGAAGAAATTTCAAGAGATTATTATATGCTTTTGCATGTGAACAAGTAATAAGTGGCCATAAGCTCACTAAAATAACTTGTATGTGTAGAGATTTTGAGTAACTAGAAATTCATTTTTAAAGTATTTGGAGGATTAGAAGATCGGTGGCTTTTCATACAAGAGATTTAATAGTAAATTAATCTCTTGACTGGGGCTATTTTATGTCAGCACATACAAAACAGAATAAGAAAATAGACAACTGCATAAATCATGACTCCCTATTAAGATTGATCTCCAGAAGAGATAGAAATTACATTATTCTCCTAAAGAGGTGAAAATTGTTGAATATTATTATTTTCTTGCGAGATGAAATTTGTTGAATATGATTATCATGTGAGATGAAATTTATTGCACATGAAATTATATTCTAAGATGGTGAACAATTGCCCCAATATTTGAGATATTTTACCAACTTTGGGGGGAGAAGAATTGGAGGAAGTTGGCAAAATTATAAGTTTATAATTAGTTGATCCCTATAATGATACTTTGTAAAGTTACATGCCAACTTTTGTATCAAGATATGTTGCACATTTATGATTTGATTTATATACCGTTATGACCCAACCAGAGGCATAGAGAGATACATTTTGCTCATAATGATAATGATATTATGTGCATACATTAAGAAAAAATCTTGCCAAATTTTCTTTGAATCACTACACCTGAAGTGTAGATTGTAAGATCGGTTCCAATATATGTGATATATGGCAAGATAGTGCAGTTGATATTAATACCATAATGTATGAAATACCGCAGATAAAAGTGGTATATATAGATATCTGAGAATTATAATAGATGGCCTATGATATGAAAAAGGTTATAATGGTACCAATTGGAGATGTATTCAGATATCATAGTAAATTAGCATGCGAAATTGTATCTTGCTGAATCTTATAATACCGGTATACTATGGAATTGATAAATAATATGCATATGCATTATAGAATGGACTAGTGAATAAGGGATCTGAAATATATATGTCCATTTTAATGTCGACATAATGATAATAATTAAAATTTTATCATGGACCAGAAGTCCAATGAAATACGGATTTTTAAATCCACACTGTACAAAGTCTTGCATTATTTTGAGTCCTATGTAAGTTCATATGCATGTGTGAGTCATAGGTTAATGGATTATTCATTGCATATGTCAGAAGTTGTTAGATGCATTACTCATTATATATTTTGTTTAATATGTTTATATCTCATATTGCATGCATTAGTTTCTATACAATAATTGTGGTGTATATGAATGTTCATTCAAAGTATAGTAAGACATATGTACAACTTTAATGGAAAATTAGAAAGAGATATTTATATTCGGATGGACTTATAATTGTGATGAAATTATTGATGAAACCGATTTAATGACATGTTATGAATCATGTAAGAAGAGTTCCTGAAATTCTTATATACGATGTATTTAAATATCCAGCCCTACAAAGTTTATATCTTGAATATTGCAATTATTATATATCAAACTCTTGAAAAGTGTATGTGACTACATCATTGACATCTCAACCTGAAGTTTGAGCATATGAAAGTTAGTGAGATTTACTATTTGTATTTGCAAGAGAGCTATCATGTCAATTATGAAAATACTAAAGAATATCAACAGAATACTTATATGTGAACTGTTTTAATATGATCCAGAAGAACCATGATCAATGAATATAATTACGTGTTATATTATTAATTCATACGAGATTGAAGAGCAACATTAATAATATCATATGTTGCCATATAATTATTAAGGAATGTTTTATTAAATAATGATCATCGGTTTTTATTATTAACGACCTCTTGAAGAAGGCGTAACCGCATAAGTTTAACTTTTAAATCAACTATTAAACAGAGATTTGAAATTAATGATATTAGAGATAAACACATATATGATGAAATGAAGACACTTCACATGTTCACGTGAAGACCTGGAGATTTGAAGGTGCAAATTCAATTTAGGAGGATCGAAGTTCAACGAATGATATTTTACTAAATATGAGAAGATATCCAACCATATTGGATTTATTGTTGTGACACTAGAAGATCTCAAGTTATGTATTCATCAGGGGGAGAAAATACTCGCTTTACTCTTTTTTCCTTGACCATGGTTTTGTCCCACATTGGGTTTTCCTGGTAAGGTTTTTAATGAGGCAGCATCTCGAGCGTATTACGAAGAATGTTGTACTCTTTTCCTTAATTAGGTTTTTATCCCATAGGGTTTTTCCTATTAAGGTTTTAATGAGACACAATTTTCAATAATAGACATCCAAGGGGAGTGTTATGAAATATTAGGTGGATGCCTATTATCCTTTTAGCTTGTATCATCCTGAATATTCTAGATTTAGGGTTATCCAAGCAAACCCTAATTATATTGTATGTATATATACCCCCATCATATGGAATAAAGATATACACATTAGTTCTCTCTCAATATCTCATATTTCTCCGTATTTCACAACAAAACTGTGTTAGTGTTAATCAACAGTCGTCAAATTAATTAATTGTCCCACAGTAATATTCTAAACATGTCTTAGTCAAATTCTTTTTCAATTATGTTGACGTGAAATTCATGCATGTTACAAAGAGCCGCACTGTCGGGCCAAAGATGAACCCTTTTCTGTTATAGCATAAAATCTCAATGGGTCCAACCCCTAATTTTAGATTAATCTTGACAATTATTGGACTTGTTAATTCCAAACGCTATGAGAGTAGAATGATACTCAAAACTTGTAGGAAAAGCCAAGGTTTATGGCTAATATATATAAAGTCTTTTTTGTACATGCCAACTAGATTAATTAATTAAAAATTTCGATAATATTATTTAAGGGTCATCCATCTCATAATATCTGTTGCGATTCTCTTTCACTCAAAAAATCGATCTTTCCTGTTGATCTCTGAGTTATACTAGCTGAAATTGTCAAGTAAAGCTCAAGGTGTGAAAGCAACATTGTCAATTGTTTGTTCCTATAGACAAACTTATAAACACTATTAACAAGTCCAATAATTGGAAGTGACTTCGATTGCAATTTTATTTGATGGATTATATAACTGTTCAAGTACTATCTGTGACATTGTTAACATGTAAACTAAACTGTATCTTTGTAGATACTTACAAGCAGGTAAAGACATGGAGACAAATAAACCTGAATGAACTGCAGAATATTTTTGGCCCTGAAAATTGAGTTAATATTTTTGTGATTGGACAATTGACACAAAAACTCCTGAACCTTTAGAAGTTTAGCATTTTGTTTTTTCAAAAACATTGCAAGTATTTCTAGATTTTTTTTTGGTAGAAATATCAAATACACCTTCTAGTGTTTCTGAATACATGCAATAATTTGACTTTAACTACCACTATTTATGTACTCCTATTAATTTTGATCGTATATTTTTAACGAAGTACATAAAAATAAAATGTTCATTTATTTATTTATTTATTTATTTATTTATACATTATAGTATATATCTATGGTTAAACTTGTGCATTGATGCATGAGTTTGTTTACACATGTGTACTCTCATCTGTAATTTTTAATTAAAAGTTTGATATTATAAAAAAAAAATTAACACGACTCAACAAGCTAGATTTTAATAACTACATTTCTCTACCTATAGATAACGAAAAGAATTCAATATGAAAAATGTGATTTGTACATAAACTCATACAACATGGTAAAATAAACTACTATGTAAAATTAATACGAAATTACGAAGTTATAAAAATAAATAAAGAGGGAACTTCCGTCCCTTAATTTTTGCCCTATTGCAAAAATATGGGTCAAACTTTTAAAACTTTGACAATGAATACTTGTTAATGTATAAGTGATAATATATTCATATGGATTTTGTTAGAATCGTTTTATTGTATAGTTTATTCATATTAAATTTTTATAATTTTTACGCTTATAAAAATAGAGATACTCTCTCCGTGTTTTAATAAATGTTACAGTTTGACCAGCACATAGTTTTAGGCAATTTAATTGACTTAAATAAAATAAGAGGTAAGTGGGATAGTTGGAGTATTAAAAAATTATAAAAGAAAGATAGTGGGATTAATAGTTTATTGAAAAATAATGAATGTGAGATGAAAGATATATTAAAAAAAAAAGTAGTAATGAGTTTAGGTGGGGATCATAAGATGAGAGATATATAATATTTAAATGTAGGTTTTTGCCAAAAAAGGAAGTGCAACAATTATTAAAATACGACCGGATTAGTAAGTGTAACACTTATTAAAACACGAATGGAGTATATACATTTAAAGACACGTCTTGAAAATGTTAAAAAGTTAAATGGGCAATAAGGAACAGATGGAGTAACAATAATGCAAAAAAAAAAAAAAAAGCCCTTCCGAAATCAAGCTTTACCCCACTATGGAAAAGGGGTAATTTAACAGTATTACAGTAAAAAGATTGAGATACGGCGAAAAAAGTGAGCTATTGATAGAAAAAAATATTGTGGATAATATAAAGGGGCAACGATTTTAAATAATTGAAAACCCCCTTACCTAGCCTGTCATTAGCGCTACTAATACAGATTATTACAAGCTTAAATTATATGCATTATCATATTAATGTGACTGATTTGCATAAATTTTTTTTTATTAAAGTGACCGATCTACAGCTTCCTCTTTAATTTGACCAAGAATATGATTAGCAGCCGCCGCGATATCATCAACTGAATTCAATTGGCATCCTTCCTCGACCTATTTACAAAAAGGGAAATTTATTCAACTTTAATTTAAAAATGAAAATTGAGAAAATCATGAAACAAAATTATGCACAATGGAAAATATAACCTTTATAAATTGATCATGGAATTTAAGAAGACATCAACAAAGCTTAATAAGGTAATGGTTGTGTTGGGTTTGGTACTTTAGTGGCTCTAGGAAGCAGAGTTGGCTAAATATGGCTAAAAGCGATGGTGATTTTGAAGACTATAGACATTAGACAAAAGTCGTACAAGCACCAACTTTGGGCTCATTTGCCATGCAAGTTAGGCAAAATCTTCAATCAAAGGCCAAAGCCACTAATACAACCAGCTAGTCAAGTAAACCATCAAGCAGGCGAAGTAGCTAACAACGAACTAGTGATTTTCCCTAACATGCAAAGGGACACAAATGCATGACTCGTGGTGAACCTAACCACACCCATCGCAAGTACAGCTAAAAATTCCCTCGGAATCAATATGTCGTAACTTGGTAAAATCTTACTTCGTACTAAATAAAGGAAAATACACATCTCATGAAATAATAGGTACTCCTATGAGATAATTGAGCAAATAAATAACAAACATGCGACGGTCCCCTAAGTACATTGTTATTTTTTTGTCGTATAGATTTGGCTAGTGAACATGTCTTGTGTTATTTCGAATAATTTAACCATCATAACCGATAAATGCGGAATTACACTATTTTATTTTCTACCTAATTTTTATACGACCCCTAATTTAATTAGTACTCTCCAAGCTACGTAGTACTTCTATTAAGAGTACGTGTTGTTAGATGAATGAGTTGTTCAACATCTCTAAGGTCTTTTCCTTGTCTCTTTCTCTCTATATGTGTATACTCCGTATATATTTTTAATCCGAAATACATCTCATAATTCTCATTGATACATTGGCCTTGTTCTACGAGGTAATAATTTAGAATTAACATAATTTATAGAAAGAAAAAAAAAATGATATTTTTTTTGTCATGGTTCTAACCATAGCTTAATTTAAGTAAAGGCATAGGCATATTATTAAAATAGGTAGAAAAGCTCCATTGAAATAATATTACGCGGTGAGACATGATAAGGACAAAATGAAATTTTAAGTTAACAAGTACTAAATCCGATCACTTAAATACTAAACCTTACTTCCTTTATACTCTCTAATAAGTATTATGTTTAATAAAAAAGAATGCCTACCATAGTAAGATATATTACAATTCATTGTTTTTAATTCATATTTTTGTGAGAAAATCATCGTTAAAACAGAAAAAACATGTAACGTAGAGATGTAGGGGGCAACTATTTACCATTTATAATTATTAATACTCCATATTAAAGATATTACGGAGTATTGGTCAGAGTTTTGCTTAGACAAATTATGACATTTATTTTAAAACAGAGTAAAACAATTTCTTTTTCCGAATCATTTCACAAAACAATAAATACAGTCAAAACAGGAACAACAAAAAGCAACGAAGAAAGCACAACGAATCAAAAACAAGTAAGCTAAGCAAATAATAGAAGGAAAAAAGAAACAAACCTTGAGGCTTAAAGAGTAAAGGACGAAAGAGTCAATAGTAGTGACGTTAAGATGAAGAACGTTTAACCGAAGACCCTGAAATCCTGCAATTATTTTCACTAGTTGCTTTGCTTCTTTCTTTGCCAATATCTTCACGTTTGCATGGCTTTCCACCATTGTCACCTCTATGTCACCCACACCCGAGTTGCTACGACTCACTGTGTTGCTACTGCTTCCTGAACCTGAACCGGAACCGGAACCTGACCCGGACGAGCTAGGCTTTGACCTAGTTGAGTATTGTGGGAAGCTGAAGAAGTCAGCAAATGGTGTTGATTCTGTACAAGAATCCAACTCATCATGATGACTAGCAACATTTTTGTTTTTGTCGTCACCACCACCGCCATGTGGCGGTGGTGACGTTGGATTTTGGTGGTGGTCGTGGCGGCGGGGTTGTTTGTTTGATGTCTTTTGTGCCTCCATTGACTGTAATAGTTGCTCTAGCTCTTTCACATAGTTTATTGCTCCTCCTACTATTGATGCTTGATCTCCCTGAAAAAATTTAACCATTTCTTTTAGATCAAAGTGTTACTTTACATTTAATATGCCACAATATCTAATTTGCATTGCATTATTACTCTTATAACAAAACATTGTTTACATTATAAATCAAAAGAAACTTTTGCGCACACAAAAATAATCATGAATCTACATTATCCATATAAAACATACTCGCTCTGTTTCTATTTGTTCTTTTTATTTAAAAACTTTTTTATAAAAGCAATTATAGAGGCATAAGAGTAGAAAGAAATTAATTTCCATTTAACTAGTCATCGAAAATGAAATGTTAAACTCATTTCGAAACAAAGGGAGTATAATACAGAGTAATATGCATAATCAATATGCGATCAAAAAAAATTAAAAAAAAAAAAAAAAAAGATAAACTAAAATTAATAAACATACATACCCTTTGAACATAGGAAGGAGGCATCAAGGACCTAATAACAGCAAGATACTCATTCATCTGTTTTCGGCGATTTCGCTCCACAGCAATGTGAGTCATCCTTTGGTGTTCCACTTCCTCTTTGTTTTTACAACTCCGCCGCCGTCTCTTCCTCCGAACCCCACCACTTTCAGGGGTTTCGGCAGCTGTAGACGGCAGCGGGGCTTCGCCAGATAGACACAAATTATCTTCCGGCGAAGAATAGCCAGCAGTAGTAACATACTGCTGTTGATGTTGTTGTTGTTGTTGTTGTTGATGATGTTGTTGCCATTGAAGGACATTATTTTGTATGATAAAATCAGAGGTAGTAATATTTATGTTACCATTGAAGTCGTAAACATTATTATTATTATTATTATTGACGAGATCCAATAAACCAACATTTAAAGGTAGTTTAAAACTATCTTCCAAAAACTTAGAGGGGTGATGATAAAAATAATTATTGGAAAACTCAAAGTTGATACCAAAATTATTAGTATTAGTAGTAGTAGAACAAGGATTATTAATTAGTGGGTCTTGAGAGAACACCACAGCTTCTAATGCCATAATTAGTATAAACTACTAATTAGGTGATTATAATGATGATTAAGAGAGATAATAAAAAAAAGAGAAGTTGAAGGAGGCAAAAAAATGACAGGAAGAAAAAGAGAGGAGGAGAGTAGCTTTATTGAGGGTAGGCAGCTTTATTATATACGGAGTAAGCAAGAGTGTCATAAAAATAGAAAAATAAAAACACAGAAAACTAAGAAAAGGTGAAAATATATGGTTGAAGGTTCCAAGAGATACAGTACTACTGTGAGAGTAATCAGGAATACAGAGTTTGTTTAAAACTACAGGCTATGCCTTCTTGCACGTGAGGCTTTTTCAGAGTGAGAGAGCGAGGTGGGGGAAAATGAGGAGGTGCGCAATTTTACAAGGATTTGTATGAATTGATGATTGTGTAAGTGGAGTAATTATAAGTTTGAGGGAGTTTTAAAGGGGGTCTACTTTGGAGAGAATTAATCAACTTATTAGGCTATTAGCTATATGTGTCTATATGTGACTTTTGTGTGTTTATTATGTGAGTGATTTGATTTCATTCAGTGTGTCGAGTTTGTAAGGAAGTTACCCGTAGTTCGTGGAAGTTGCCTGTGTTGCGCATAAATAAAAGTTAAATATTGGTATACATCACATTATTAGGTGTAAGTATGTTAATTTGTTTCATAATAAAACATGAGGAACGATAACAAGTCTATGATTTAAGTGGAATATTTCTCCTATTACCAACTGGTTTTAGGATTATGGGTTATTTTTCCTATTTTTGTCTTTCATCTATTCGTAATAAGTGGTAATTTAAGACAACTTTTGTAATACCCATATTTTTTAAACGTATTTTCTAATTAATTATTATTTTTTAAAAAGGGTATTTTAGTAATTTATTTTACTATTTGAATTTTGGCCCCAGATGTATTTTAAAACTTAATTATTATTTTTGGATTTCGGATAAGATTTATCATCCATTTGTTTTATTCTAAAAACCGGGTTATTTATATATATTTCGGATATTTTAATTAAGCAAAATTATATTTTAATTATTTAATTAAGAGGTCTGAAAATTTCTAATGATTGGCTAATAATTTTGGATTTTTCTAGCATGGAAAATCTGATTTTTCTTAGTTAATTTATTTAATGAATAATTGGTATTCTCTTAATTAATTATTTTATACAATATATATTATTTATACAATCATTTTTAATCCCTTAAATCTAGCAAAATAATTTCCTAAATTCTACATAAGGGGTCCGGAAATTTGAGCTATGGAAGCTCAAAATTTTCGGCCATCTTGGTGGATTTTGGGGTGATTCATTTTGGTAATTTGTATTTTAATTATTTCCACTAAATCTATTATTTTTCCTTAATTCTTATATTTCATCTCCTAAATATTTGATCATCTTATTACCCAACATTATATCATCCTTGATTATTCTCCAAGCAAAGCCATTTGCCATATTATTTTTCATGACAACATACTTTCCATAAATTAATTATTTCTTAGTCACCTTAATATTAAATTTTCCATAGTTCTTTAGCTCTCTTCTCCAAGTAATTTCCTTAATTCTTTTTACCATAATTCTTCCTACATTCTCCTACCATAATTCTTGCATGAACTAGCCTATAAATACCCCTTGAATCATAGCTAAACACTAACACCAAATTATCTAATTTCTCTCTAATTCTCTTCTCTTCTCTTCTTCTTGTTTCCTTGCGCCACCACCGCCACAAATCACCACCTCCACTGCCGGCTACCACCAGCTGCCGCCCCTTGCCGTTACCTCTCTTCTCCTTTTTCCTTGGTTTTCTACCTCTTTTTCTTCTCTTAATTAATTAATTATTATGGGGGTTTTATAAAAATTATTATGAGTGTTTTTATTTAAATAAAATCAGATTTTTATCCAAGCTTATGAAAAATAATTTATAAGGTTCATGTACATATAGTTGGGGGTTTTATTTTAATTGTTGTGATTATTTGTTAGCCTTATAGTAATTAAGGTTATATATTTATTTGTAGGGTGTGTTTGATCAAAGTTCTTAAAGTTCCTTTTTGTGTTGCTAGCAAGGATCAAAGGTATGTTTAGGTGGCTAGACACCTTTGAAATTGATTGGATTGAATAAGCATGTTTTATATAATTTTTATGATGATTTAATTAAATTGAATTGAATTATGATTTATGGCCTTATATTAATTTTTATCATGTTTTGAATGATTAAATTACTTATCATGTTTTAAAAGGTTTGAGTTTGAAAGCATGTTAAATTAAATAAAAAAAGGAGGTTTTGAAGTGTTTTATTATAAAGATTGGAATTATTGATTTAAAGAGGATTTATTGAGTTATAAAAGCTTTACAAGCATGAATATTATATTAATCCCACTATGCAGATTCATTGAATATTATGAACTTTGTATGACCTAGTCTTTCCTCAAGGATAGCCTTTCAACATAAAGATACTAGCTTGGGGGGTGTGCACACTTAGAGAGGAATTGGATTTTTGAAAAGAATTGATTTTAATAATCACTATTATTGAATTATTGAGTTATTGGAATATATTTGAGTATATTGATAATTGATTTTAAATCGAGTTTGGAATTATTGAATTAATTATTGGAATTAGTTTTAAAAGCATGTTTGCTAATAAATTGAATTTACTTGTCTTACACTTATCGTACTTAGCATATTTTGCTAATTCGTATTTCCTATTTGTTTTGGTTCGCCCTGTTTGCCTTAATGGTAAGCAGTGTTGACTATTTTCAGGTGGAGTCAATAAGTGAGCATTTAGGAGTCCCTGGATGTTCTTCACCTAATTTAGGAATGTTGGTCCTTGTTTCTATTTTGAGTACTCATAACATTGGTAACTATTTTTATTAAGTATTTATAAAGAAAGAGTTCGAATTTCTGCTGCCAAGCTCTAGTTTTAATTAGAAGTTTGAGAAGCCTTGCGTAATCACGTGGCAGTAATACGCTTAAGTCTATCTCTACGGTATAATTATACGTATTATACTAGTATTTTCGTAGAGAGAGATTTAGGGATGTTACAGCTTTAACTAAGCTTTATGCAACAATTGATGGAAGTCATTTGCATTATTGGGCTTGTGGTACCAAAACTCATTCATTGTCGATCTTCTAAGGGCTTCATAATCAAAACCTAGCTTCAACCTTAGCTTATCATTAATTGGAGGTGCTCTACAGGGTTTGAATGGAGATTGATGATAGGTACAAGCGTGGGTATTTTTGTCCGGCAATATGAAAAGATGATAAGCCAATAAAAGTTCTAGTTTATAACACGTGGCTACTCGCCTACTCCTACGTAAATCACCGAGTTGTAATTAGACAAGGGGTATCACTGTATTAGGTCATACCAAAAATATTCATAGCTAACCAAAAATTGAACTAGATCAAAACTGTACTATTTTTCTTGATAAGATGAACAAAGCCTTGGTATATAATTTCTCAAAAAATTATTGACCCTAAAGTATGCATTTTGAGAAGTGAATTGAGTGGTAATTGAAACTTATTAAGGAATAAACATAATTAGGGTCAATAAACCTCATCTCAGTGTACCATTTTGTGGGGATTAAACAAACCTCCAACGGACCAACGCCAAGGTCTTACTAGGCTAAACTTAGCTTGTTGAAGTAATGCATATTGGTGTAGTTCTGATTTGATGGCCGTATTTGTTTTAATACAATCTACGAGTATTTTGCAAATAGTCCATACAAAATACTTTCCCCGTTTCGTAATAATCGCAACACTTTGATTTTTGCACTATTTATATGTTTACTTTGACTCTATTTTTTATCACTTTATAAAAACATATATTGACATGTAATATTTTTAGATTAGTCTTTATATATAATTTCATTAGATCAAGATTTTATACTTTTTAGAATATATAATTACAAATATTTATGGTCAAAGTTGTACGGTGCATCGATATGTGTGTCGGTTAAAATATTGCGATTGTTATGAAACGGATGAAGTATTGCGGAGTCATATGGTAATATGTAGTATTTCAAATGTGTTGAATCTATTAGAAAGAGGACCGGTGGTGACTGGTGAGGAACCAAGAAAAGGCAAGGACTCAATTTTATTCGTACGCAAAAAGACATCTCGATCTTTTTCTTCCCATCCATCTTTGTTACTGTCTTTATTGTGTATTCTAATCTCCAATATTGTATTTCGTCTGTTTCTTTCCCCATATACAAAGTATACAAATAAAGACTATACACTTTTTCATTAATCATAAGCTTAAAAAGCTCTTCTAGCAAAGATAAATTAAATTAGTTCTTTATAATCATATCAAAACGAATATTTGGTTATTTTAACATATCATCACTAACTTGGAATAATTAACTCTGTCAATATTATACGAAGTGGGAAAACAAGAAAAGAAAAACATACACTCTTCCAATGTCATCAGATTGGATAGGGACAAATAAAGGTTGATGCTGATATCAATGAAACCATGAATCCAAGTGAAACTTACCAAAAACCACATCTTTACAAATAATTAAATCTAATTTTAGAGTTAAATTATGAAATCTCACATTCTTTTGCATGTTACATCGTTAGGCCCTGTTTATTTGTGTTGTTGTGGTGTGCTCTGCTCTGTTATGTTCTGCTCTACTTAGTATAAATAAACTGTTCTATTCTGCCATTGACACCTGCTTTGCTGATATACACCAAAAGAACTCAAATGCATGTGAAAAAAAAATACGATTTTATGATGAACATACTATTCAATTACTGATATATGAAGTAAATTAACGATATCACATGTTCTTACATCATACTCTGTAATATCATACAAAACATACTGAGACCCTGCTCTTTTGAGCTTTTGGGCAGAGCAGAGAAGAACAACTCAAAAGAACAGGGCTTGAGTACTTTTTAACATATATTTGTGTTATTTTAGTACACGATGAGCAATATACGCGTGTCCATGAGTTAATACAGATGGAGTATGTAGTACTTCGTCTTTAAAAAGAAAGGCTTATAGCTGATAAAGCCATGAGCAATTTGGCAGGTACTCTTTGTTCAGACTTCAAAGTTCAAACAACCCAAAAGAACCATCTATCTAAACTTTTAGGCTAAATATTGCAAAAGTTCTCGTTAGTTTTTATCTCAATCAGATTACATCACTTTAGGATTAGTATGATATCAATACGTTAAGGAATTGCTTTCCTATGTATGGGAAAAGAAAAGGGTGAAGTGAAGAGGAAAAGTAAAAAGATGAATAAAATCAGATTATGAATTCAAGGCTAAGATATGAGAAAGATGCATGTTGTAAGAAGAAATATAATAAGTCCAGGTTGGTTTAACAGTACTTTTTTTGTATCAGTGTTGTATTGACATGAGCAGTGGCAGGAGAATCCATGTGACCAAATTCTGTAATCATCTATTACTATTAAGACTTTGTGTTTCACTTTTCTTAACCAATTTGCCCTAACCCAGGCCACTAGTATCCTTCAGCTTCTTGAGAATTTTATGATGATTTCACCCAGGAAGATATTATTGGTTATTATGTTAAAGGTTATAAGAATCAAACACTCAATCTCATGCTCATAGTTG